AGAAAAAAAACAAAAAAAACGGGGGGGGGGAGGGGGGTAGGTATAACTGAGGATATAACTGCAACACTTGACAATCACGGACAATCAAAACTTTCTTCTGAATGTGCTCTTTTTAAGTTCAGGTAATTTAAAACTCACTAAGAGGGACACTTCTTTTTTTAAAGATTTAGAACATTGCAATAAAATCTATTAAGCAGATGCACTGAAATAGAGCTAAGAGAAGAGAATGTTTTTAAGTGACCTAATAAATGTAGATGGAACCATGGGCAGAGAAAAACAAAGCATAGCACAACTATCTCATCAAACGAACAATGTCAAAATTTTGTTTTGTATGTCTGAAACTGAAATCCTAAAAGAACATGAGAAAAATGCATCCCTGAAGTAACTGAAGGGGACAAGTAAAATCAGAGCGAGTCAGAAAGACACAGGAAGAGACAGACAACAACAGAGTTTAAGGGTAAATGAGAGACTATGGTCCTCATCGCCATTACGGTGCACATTTCTGCAGCAACATGCTGCTTAATCTGTACAACAGCAAGCGTATAAACCTGTTCTCTCTCTGCATGTATCCTCCCCTCCTCTCTGCGGAACTGCTCCATTTCCACATAGTGCCTCCTCTGTTCCCTCTCATGCCGCTTCCTCAGCTCATGCTCTCGTTGCTGCTGCTGTCAGAAAAACAGAAGCACAAGAAGTTTCAGGAAGGCTGCACCTGCTGAATTGTCTGCTTACACACAATTTAAGAAATCACATCTCTGTGGATAATCACACAAAATACTGGAACTTGATATGTGAGCTCATCTGATTATTATCTCCACCAAGGGCTGGGGGTAATGTTTTTACCAGTGTTTGTTTGTGTGTTGGTTGGTTTGTTCACAGCGCAACTCAAAAGGTAATGAATGGTTTTTGATTACATCTTTTGGAGAGTAGGGTATGGCCCACGCAACAATTGATTAGATTTTGGTACTGATCTTGATCATCATTCGGATCCAGAAAATTTTTTTAAAGGGTTCTTCACCATTGTGAGACAGGGCCAATAGGGCTCATGAAAAACTTGCAACTCTGAGACCGAGTATGGATCAGGCCACATTTTTCTGTCTCAGTGCAAACCGAGCCTGAGAGTGTGGTGGCCAAACACGATAAGGATATTATATTTATGTCCAAACCTGACCCGAGCCCACCACAGCTGTCTTCAATCTCCTTCTTCTTACCTCCTCCAGCCGCCTCCTCTGCTCCTTTTGCTCCTCAATGCGTTTCTGTCTCTCAGCCAATAGTAAACGCTTGCGCTCCTCATTCTGCTGTTGCTCCATCGGCTGCCGGCGCTGCGCCTCCGAGCGCTCCTTATTGGTAAGCTGGAGGCGAAGGAAGTCCCGCCTCAAGGTCGACTCCCCAGGGATGTTGATGGTAGAGCTGAGAATGGGACCCATGAGAAAGTAGTTGGTGAACATATGCCAAATGTATTTTGGGGGAAAAACATTGTACTGTACAGTGTGTGTGTGTGTGTGTGTTCATAATTTGAACATTAAACACACCGACCTCGGTTCGCCAAGGTCTTGTTCTTCATCCTCCTCTTCACTACCACTGTACTCGTACTCTGTCTCATCTGATGGGGAGAGTGGAAAAAGAGACAGAGGAGAGAGAAAGAATTAATAAAATGAAAAGTGAGTACATTAATAACCAGGAGCCTAAACAGTTGTAGGAGCAGCCCGACTCTTTCTGAGTCACACACATATACAGTCCTACTGTACAAATGTGACAAAGTGTCTCCAAGGACAGTCAAAGTCTCCACAAGCACAAGACATTTCTGTACATAATCACAATGGCCCGTCCTGCAGCATGTTGTTTATTGAAGTGCTTAATGTGACTCTTACCACAGTTCTGTGCGCTTGTGTCAGTCTATCACTCAGACACTCAGTGGAACATAAGTCTGCCACTTTTCCCACTCAAGGCATGTACATTAGAGACACACAACAAATGCTCCACAAGCACATGGCACAACACAGGAGAGCCAACTCCTCACGACAAAACTTAGCAGTCCACCTGCACCTGAAGGACAAGGAACACTCCTCTGAGGGCAGCAATGTACATGTTGGCCAGAGAAGACAGATGGTTTGAAAAAGGAGTGAAAGAATCCATCTACATCAAACTGGATGGACCATCAACAAACAGAAGAGTTGGTCTATGACACCACTTATTAGTTACTTACAATGCAGTCCTGTTATCCCTGCCAAGGCAATTTAACGCCCATTCGCACCCTGACTGCTAACGGCCCACATGCCGGGTGGAGTAACAGCCCACGTGTGACTTCATGGCGTTAATGACTCCACAGAGGTTAAATGTGTTAAATGTGAAATGGTTAAATTACATGGGATACTGTCAGAGCTGAAGAAAACTCTTGAATGAGAGGTGAAATGGAGCTAGGACAAACCTGGATGACTGAGAATCTCCAAAGACATTTTTGCGTCACATAATCCAAAGAAACATTTTGAACAACTACTATGAGTACAGTACTACCACTGCAGTCACTGTATATACAGAGGAAACTGTTCTTTTAATCCCAGGGAACTCCTGCCTGCCACTATATATCAAGAGTAACTACTTAATGAAACTGCTGCTCCAGCTGCTGTGTGTGTAAATCTATATGTACACATGACTAGAACGCGCCCTCACCTCTCTCTCCTCTCTTCTTCTTGGTGCGGTCGATGTGGTCCCTCAGCTGGATGCGGATCTGCCTCTCGTTGGGCAGCTCTCTGATGAACGGGTGTTTGATGAGCTGCTCTGTGCCGGGTCTCTGAATGTGGCTCTTCACCAGAGAGCTCTCTATAAACGATTGAAACTTCTTTGACCTGAAGCCATACACACACACACACACACACACACACAAAGTTTATGTTTCGTAGTCCATGGGGACTTTACATTGACTTACATGCATTTCCTGTAGACTAACCCTAACCTTAACCAGAACCACTACTTGCCTAACCCTAACCCTAACCTTAACCTTAACCTCATCCCAACCCTAAACCATGTTGCCACCCTAAAATTCAATTTCTTGCCCATGGGGACCTCAATTTAGGTCCCCACCGTGAAATGGGTCCTCATGAGTTGGTATGGAGTCAGGACGAAGTCCCCACGTAGCAGGAAAAACACGTCCACACACACACACAGTAAATGAAAAACCCACTCTAATACAGTGTGTGCCTTAACTGATTATCCTTCTTTTGACAGTTCTGCTCTCAACTATCTGCAAATATGCTCAGCTAACACAGTTACTGCATCAGCACTCACCATTTCTTTGACTTGAGTTTTGGGGCGGGGTTTCGTGGGATAAGGAAGAGGGCTCTCATTGGGTGCATGTCACACAGCGCTAAAGAATCAGATATCATAATTAGCAAACACAGATGTGTTAGGCTGAATGTTTCGTGTTAGTTGTACTAAACATTATCATGGCATACAATCAAATCCAGATGGAGTCAGCCCTCACTGGATCTATAAATGCTGTCAATATAAATAAAGACCTATTAGTTTTACACACGCATAAACACTTAAGGTCTTGCCTTCTTATGGAACACCAAAGTTAGTTATCCATCTCACAAATGGTTGTGTATGTATTTGGTCATTTCAGCACTGTCTTTATATTGTCAAACCACAACCTTTAGTTAAATAGTGTTCAGATAAAACTACAACCAGAATAAAAACACTTACATATTTCAAATTGATTATTTTCCAGTAGTGGTCATTTTCTATGTGTGCCATGTTCTCACCAATTGCTGTCATCCTAATAAATGTGATTTCAGGGAGTTTCCAGTGTCTACCTCCATATATGTTCAACATGTTCTCATCCAGTTAGAGGTCCTCTTCTAAAGTGCACCACTGTAACATCCTTAACAAACCTAAATAATACCCTTCATGATTAATATAATGAATTACCCACTGTAACTTGGGAAGACTTTAAACAGGAAGTTGCTTATTTAGTGAACCAGAATTAATTGAAGGGAGAAAACAAGTCCTGCTGCCTCTAATCACAACAAGCACCTCTAGGGATAAGATAATGAACAGAAGATATATCAAATGCTGGCATTATCTTCTACTGACTTTGGGCCGCAGCCCAGCAATCTGACAGCCAATTTTATATCCAGTCCTTGGCCTTCATTAAAATTACATCTTAAGATTAGTTGAATTGGCCTGGGCTGAAAAATTACTAGACTCCTGATTACAGTGATTTACTGCAGTAGCACGAAGAAATGATGTGAAGCAGAGGTGTGGAGTTATTGACTGGGTACGTACGTGGTGCTCCTTCAGCCATCTCTAATGCTGTGATTCCTAATGACCATAAATCACTCTGCAGTGAAAGAGACAGCGTGTAAATACTCAAGATGGATAAAAAAAAAAAATGCATCAGTGACAAACATCTTCAGAGGAAAGGAGACCGTTGAAACACCTTGAAGTCATATGTGGCGTGGGGATTCTCATCACAGGCAATAACCTCTGGTGCCATCCAATAAGGCGTCCCAATGAACGTATTTCGCCTTCCTACTGTCCTGTCCAACTGGGCCGAAACACCAAAGTCCACTACAGAGCAATCAGACAAACACAAAAACGTTTGGGTATAGTGTGCAATTTAGTTTAGTTCATGTTTCTGTCCTAAATGTGTGTGCTTCCATAATGGACTCTAAACAGGAATGAATGACCCAACCATTAATAGCTTGCCCAGTTTACAAACACACACACACACACACACACACACACTTTATAATCCGCTCCCCACTGGGCATTAGGGGGGAACAAGAGAGGGAGAGAGAGTCCCTTCCTCAGCAGTCTGCACCATGAACAGCAGCAGAGCTACAGAGAAACGAATGAGAAGAAAAGCCTCATACACACAAACCTCTGTGCCATGCCATCTGAAACTTACTACCCTCCCAGTCATAAAGCAGTATTTTCAAGCAAGGTTAAATGAGAAACTGACCTAGTTTGACATCTGCGTTCTCAGTCAACAGGACGTTCTGTCCCTTGATATCTCTATGGATGACCTTGTGTTGATGGAGATGAGTCAGACCCTGCAGACGGCAACAAAGACATAAGGAATGCCACTGCAGAACATTGATAAGGTTATTGTTATTATATAAAAATTTGCACTGTTAAGCATCTTTGAGCGGGACTAGCAGGCTGAGGGCTGCTACTGTGTAGCTGACCTTGACTCCTGTCCCTCTTCCTCAGGGGTGGGGAGCAAAAAAACCTTCTTACAGGGAAGCAACACAGGCAGAAAGACTATCAGAAGTAACACCAGTGCTTTGATAGTAGTCACTTTAGTTGTTACGGAAGCAGGTGTGGTAGCAGATGTTTGCACTACTTCATCATGCAATGAGAAAGGATATTTATAACAGATTGTAAATGAAATGTGTGAGACGCTCCTTTTTGGTAGAATAATTAAATAATGCATGTGAAAGATTTGCTGCACAGCAACATGTCAGGTATTATATGTAACCATTGTTATTCTACTGAAGCCTGATGTATTGACTGTAAGAAATAAGTAAATCAAAGTGAGAGTTTGGCACTAGAGTAAGAAAAATGAAAGGGAAGATGAGAACAGACAAGAAAAAAAAACAGTAATAAGCACGTAAAAACTGTGAAAGTCAAAAGGGACAAAGAGACAAAATGTGAAGAGACAGGAAGAAAAGGGAGAAGAGAAGAGAACAGAAAGCACAAAAAAGGCAAAGGATGAGGAGTGAAAAAGAAATAAAAGAGGATGAAAGGAAATCATTGTTGCCTGTGCTCAGAGCGGCGCTGGGTATATCTGACAAGATGCTGTGATATTGCTACAGCCCTCAGCACACAGAACGCACAACAACACACAGTAGAGATAAGATGTGGGAGAATGAGCACAATTTCCTAGGAAGATTGAATTCCTGGCTTTACATCAGGCCAAAACAAAGACATCATGCAGGGCAAACTTGTCTAGGCCTGTTCTTACATCAATAACAAAATGAAGCCTCCACCCCTTAAATCAAACTAAAAACAACAAGTTTATTACCAAGATGTTGAGTCATTACTGTTTTTTTAGGAGCAGCTTATTTTATAATATAAATCCTTTTACAAGAATGGTCTTAATCTTTCCTTTGTTAAAATGCTTGGGATGCATACAACAAGCCCCGGTTTTCAAATCAGACAACAGGGAATTGTTTCTTCTACATTGCCCTTTATAGCATTTTCTACTATAACTATCGTATATATAAATATTACTGAGGCTTGTCGGCTCTTGTGCTAGCAGCTAGAAGCCATTAGTTTACAATGAACGGGGGACACATTTTATTATTTAAGAAAATAACAAACAGAAGATCAATGCCTAATTTTATAGGTACCAGACGGTTAATATTCTACTTGTCTGGAGATGACACAGAGCTTGTTCTGAGCTCTGACTTGTCTGCAGCACATGAAAACAATAACTGTCTATGTTAACACTGGAGCTTCAGTTATTATTATATTTTCTTATTTAAACATTGGTTGCTGTTAATGCTAAAATGAAATAAAATTGTATTTTGCTTGATTATAAAAAGACTGGGACTTTGTTGCTGTTATTGTTTGAGCAGAGTTTCCACAAAGTCAGTCAGCTTGGAGCATATTGCCTCCGTGCCACAATAGGCGGAATTAAAGTGTGGAACAAAAACATGTATGCAAATGTGCAGACTGTATCTTACAGTATTAATTTCCATCTTTCAGTAGCATTAATATGTCTGTTTATCACTCCTAATTGTCTGCAGAAAGCTTCTCCTCTAACTGGGACTTGTAATGTTCCGTTTCCTAAAGGTTTGGAAGAACATAAATATTAAAAAGTTCTAGTTTGACTGATTTCAGATAACTTACAGGACTATTTGTTGAGCTTACCACATGAATGATACAAACAAATAAAAAGATAAAATATACAGCTAGATCTGAAATATCCTTCATCAGATAATTCAGTGAATCTTTCCAGATGCCAGCTGCTGCAAAGTTTGCCACGTTTTTAAGCATTTATGAAATTGATTTCCCAAAAAATCATGTTGGCTTATTCTTGAGAAACATCTACTTAATTTTTTTCTGTAAGTAGCAGATATCATCACACAGTCCCTACAAGTCTAACTGCATTCAGAAGAAAAACAACACTCTTTGTCTTCAACATTCACAATTAAAAACTTAACCCGAAGTTCAAGATGCGACTTGCCAACACGACCACTTACCTTGAGAATCTCTCTGCAGACGTATGCGATCCACTCCTCTTTCAGAGAATTGCCCTTGGTGTTCTTGATCAAGTCCGTCACTGATCCAGCTCCACAGAACTCCATGACCAGCTACACACATACAACACTGATTATTGACTGTTGTGCTTAAGGAAGTAATCAGGTCTAGAGTTGCTCCACGCAGGTCAATAACTCCCAGTAAGCAAGAAGCTAGTAAACAATCGCACTTGTTTTTTGTGTCGACTGTATGCATATGTTTGTGTGTGCCCTCCCATTGTTTTGTGATGAATGTTATGGAATCAGAAAAGAGAGAGGGAGCTCCCTTAGATCATGTTTATACATGATTTATTGCAGTAGCAGCCAGCTGGCCACACACTCATCCATATTCTTTTATATGTACACGATTTGGTCACAAAAGGTGACTAGATCTTCATCTAAGTCATAAGTTTAGACAAACACAATGTGCTTAAGGTAATACCACACAAACAATTATAGTTTTTCATGTCTTTATTGAACCCAGGCATTAAACAATCAAAGTGCTGGTGGAAAAAGCAAGTGAGCCCTTGGATTTAGTAACTGGCTGAAGCTCCTTTGACAGCAATAACCTCAAACAAGTGCTTTTTGTAACTGTGCATTAGAAGGCTCTCTGAGGTTAATCCACAGTCTCTCTGTTTGTGTGGTATAAGCTTAAGGATAATCACCTTTATTTGGCCAAGTATGTTACACACAAGGAATTTGTTTCCGGTACAGAATCGAGGCAGCCATCTGCAGCGTCAACTCAACCAATGGCTCTAACCATCGGGGGCAACTTGGGGGTTCAGTGTCTTGCCCAAGGACATTTTGACATGTGGACTGCAGGCACCGAGATTCGAACCTCTGGTTGGGAGACAACTGCTCTACCCACTGAACCACAATCGCCCCAAAGACGACTGTCACGAACAGGATAAGCACATTGTGTTTGTCTGTATTTGTGACTTAGATCAGAGTTTCCCAACCTTTTTCCTAAAGAGACCCCTGTTTTATCATTGAGTACATTGACACCATATCTTCACTTCTTGTCACACGCCGTTTCATACCAACAAAAATCTGAAAAAAATCATGCACAAACACACAAAAGCAATGCTTTACCCAGAGTTGATCATCCATCCCAGGAGGGGTTTTCTTGATGAAAGTTGCATAGTAGGTGGCGATGTTCCGATGGTGACTGTACTTCTTCAGCATGTTAATTTCTGCTTTAATTTCCTCTTCCTCATCCTGACACACACACGAGAAATGAAAGATCATCCATCCATCCATTTTCCTCCGCTTATCCGGGACCGGGTCACGGGGGCAGCAGTCTAAGCAAAGATGCCCCGACTTCCCTCTCTCCAGACACTTCCTCCAGCTCCTCCGGGGGAATGCCGGGGCGTTCCCAGGCCAGTCGAGAGACATAGTCCCTCCAGCGTGTCCTGGGTCTTCCCCAGGGCCTCCTCCCGGTGGGACATGCCCAGAACACC